CTGCCAGACTCACCCACCTTACTAATTGTTCCATATCTGATATCCCTCTCTGCCAAGTCCTCCACTGGCTTCCCATTGCCCAACAAATAAAATTCAAAACATTAACAATAAACATATAAAGCCATTTATAACTCAAATTACATCACCAATCTTGTCTCCAAATATCACCCAAACCGTACTCTCCACTCCTCGCACAACCTCCTACTCTCTAGCTCCCTTGTCTCCTCCTCCCATGCTCATCTCCAGGACTTCTCCAGAGCCTCCCCCCATCCTCTGGAACTCTCTACCCCAATTTATCAGACCATCGCCTACTCTGGCCACTTTTAGGCGATCTCTGAAAACTCTCTTCAGGGAAGCCTATCCTGCCTTCAGCTAATAATGGAATCTTCTCTTCCTCCTACCAGTCCATCCCCCACAGTTATTACCTTTTGTACCACTAGCTCCTAACCCTCTTGTATTGAACTGTATTGTTGCTGTATTGTCTCCCGTCATATTGTAAAGCGCTGAGCAAACTGTTGGAACTATATAAATCCTGTATAATAATAATAATAATAATATGGCCCCCTCTTTGACTGTCCCCCCCCAACCCCCTCCCCACCCCCCTTGCCTATGCTCCTGCTCTGTCTTAACTACCTATCCTAGCTTTATTATCATTGCTGTGTACATTTGTTTTGTGTTTTTTTAATTGTTTTGTTTTGTATTCAGAGATTGTCTTTTTTATCATTCTGCTAAAACTTTGTGAAGTAGTACTGCTTGGACCTTGAAGAAGGGGACATACCCCAAAAGCTTGTCCTAAAAATTGTATGTTAGTGCAAATAAAACAAGTATCATGGACAGTACTCAATTGTTTCTGTAAAAAAAAAAAAAAAAAAAGTGTCCCTGATTACAGTCACACTAGTTATATGATGATGCTGTACTGCACAAATGACAGTGTGTCAAAATAAAAAGTGAAAAAAAAAAAAATTTTTGTAATTTCTTCATTTTCCAAAACAATGCGACAAAAAAATTTGTGTGTGTGTATGTATGTATATATATATATATATATATATATATATATATATATATATATATACAGTGGATATAAAAAGTCTGCACACCCCTGTTAAAATGCCAGGTTTCTGTGATGTAAAAAAATTAGACACAGGTAAATCATTTCAGAACTTTTTCCACCTTTAACTAGTTGCTGACCGCAGATAGCCGAACGACGGCTGCACTGCGGCCGGCCAGTTCTGGGAGGGTGTCATATAGCCCAGCAGTGCCGCCAATCAGTGCCACCTAGCAGTACCGCCAGTCAGTGCCCAGCAGTGCAGCCAGTCAGTACCCATCATCAGTGCCGCCTATGACCTGGAAACTACAGGTCAGTCAATTTAAGATCAATAGTATGTAAACTATTGGAGGATATGTTAAACACCTTCCCGCCTATAGCAGATTGATGGCCGGGCAGGACACTCCTCCTTGTGACTTGGCATCATATAATGTTCTGTCAGAAGCAGGGGCGGACTGACAACTCATGGGGCCCCCCGAGCAATAGGGGATCATGGGGCCCCTGTGTCCTTGCCCAAACTCAAAAAAGGTACCAGGGGCATCTCATAGGGCCCCCTACTGACCCTGGGCCCTCGGCCAGTGCCCGAGTTTCCAAATGGTCAGAAGGAACCACTCATGCGGCCGCGGGGCTGCACAGCGGCGTGACCTGTCATCGTCTGTATCCACGGGACACAGCCGATGACATGTCATTACACAGGCCTGTTTCCAGCTTCATGTGACCGCTGTGACCAATTACAGCACATCACATGTCAATTGTATACAGTGGATGGCTTCCTGTCATGCCATCCATTGTATACAATTGTGTTGTTAGCTGTGATTGGTCAAAGCAGTCACATGGTACAGACAGGGCCAATCACAGCCCATCTGTATCATGTGATGAGCTTTGCCCAGTCACCGATAATCACAACAAAAGACTGAATTAATCAGTTTCATTCAGTAACAATGATTGCAAATATCAATGAAATACTTATTAGCAATCATAATGTGTAAAAAAAAAAAAAAAAAAAAAAAAACCTGATCACCTGCGCAGAGTAGTTCAATGTTGAAAAAAAATAGTAAAAAAAAAGAAAAATGTATGTTTTAAAAAGTTAAAATTAAAATTAATATTATTATATATTTTTTTTAATACTGTCACCAGTCAGTGTCCCTGATCACTACCACACTTGTTGTGTGTGTCAACACTGGAAGCTGAAAATTGGCCTGGGCAGGAAGGGGGTGAAAGTTCCTGATATTGAAGTATCACCAGTCAGTGTCTCTGATCACCACCTCACCAGTTATATAATAACGTTGTACTGGACTGATAACAATATGTTAGAAACAAAAAATTATAATTGTGATTTTTTTTCTTTTTTAATTTCTACATTTTCCAAAAAATTGTGACAAAAAATTACAACCTCCAAAAAACTCACTATGCCTCTTACTAAATACCTTGGACTGTCTATTTTCCAAAAATGGGTAATTTGGGGGGTATTTGTACTATCCTGGCATTTTTGGGCCTCAAGAAATGAGATGGGCCGTCAGTACATCAGGATTGATTGTCAGATATATATACCATGGTTTGTGGACTCTATAACTTTCCTACAGACTAAATAATATACACTAATTTGTGGTATTTTCACCAAAGAAATGCAGCAGAATACATTTTGACCTAAATTCATGAAGAAATGTTACTTATTTGCAAAATTTTATAACAGAAATGAGCAAAAAAGTGTATTTTTTTCCAAAGGTTTCGGGGTTTTTTTTGTTTATTTTGCAGAAAATAAAAATCTAAGTGGTGATTAACCGTTTCAATACCATGCAATTTTACACCTTCCTGCCCAGGCCATTTTTCAGGTTTCAGCGCTCTCACACTTTGATTGACAATTGCGCGGTCATACAACATTGTACCCAAACTAAACTTTTATCATTTTCTTCACACAACTAGAGCTTTCTTTTGGTGGTATTTAATCACTGCTTGGGTTTTTATTTTTTGCTAAATTAACAAAAAAAGACCAAAAATTTTGAAAAAAAAACCACATTTTTCTTTGTTTCTGTTATAAAAGTTTACAAATAAATAATTGTTCTTCATAAATTTAGGCCGAGATGTATTCTGCTACATGTCTTTGGTGAAAATAACCCAAATTAGGATGTATTTTTTAGTTTGTAGGAAAGTTATAGAGTTCACAAACTATGGTATAGATCTGAAATATTGATCAATCCTGAAGTACTGACAGCCAATCTAATATCTTGAGGTCCAAGAATGTCAGAACAGTACATATATCCCCCAAATGACCCCTTTTTGCAGAGTAGACAGTCCAACGTACTTCATAAGAGGCATGGCGAGTTTTTTGAAGTTGTATTTTTTTTGTCATAATTTTTCGGAAAATAAAAAAATTAAAAAAATTATTTTCACTATTTTTTTTTTTACATACTGTCACCAGTGCAGTACAGCGTCATCATATAACTGGCATGGCGGTGAACAGCGACACTGACCGGTGACAGTATGAAAAAAATATATATATTTTTTTTTTTTAATTTTTTTAAATTTTTTTATTATATTTAATTTTTTATTACATTTTTAATTTTTTTTAAGATTTTTTTTTCATATTTTACTATGACCAAAATAGTACAATGTTACCATAGTAACATTGTACTACTTTGGGGAAGTGATCAGTATTTTTTTTTTTTTTTTTTTTACACAATTTGCTTATAGCAAAGAATTACTTTGCTATAAGCAAGCATTTACCTGAATGAAATCGATTCATTCAGCTTTTTTTGTGCTTAGCTGTGATTTGGTCACAGCTAATCACATGACATGTGCATGTGATTAGCTGTGGCCATTCACAGCTAGGCACTAGTTACAATGGATGGCATCATGAATGAAGCCATCCATTGTATACAACTGTCATGTGACCTGCTGTGATTGGTCACAGCAGGTCACATGGTACCGGCAACGGGAGCTGGTACTCGGATCTGTCATCGGCCGTGTCCGAGGTGCACGGGCGGTGACAGATCGCACTGCTGCGTCGCTCTGCAACTGCGCAAACCGCGCATGTGCGGGAGCACGCCAAATGGCGTGCACCCGAAATACAGGAGCACATTTGAAGCCGCCAAACGGCCATTGGCCGGGCGGCTAATGGTTAAATACCACCAAAAGAAAGCTCTATTTGTGTGAGAAAAAAAAAATAACATTTTTTTATGGGTACAGTGTTGCATGACCGCACAATTGTCATTCAAAGTGCGACAACACTGGAAGCTGAAAATTGGCATGGGCAGGAAGGGGGTGAAAGTGCCCGATACTGAAGTGGTTAAGGGATTATATTCAAGAATTTACACATGAAAACACAGCATTAGTAGTAATCAACATGGATTTATAAAAGATTGTTCTAGCCAGACCAATCTGCTACCATTCTACGAGGAAGAGAGCTGCCATCTTGATAAAGGAAGGCCTCTGGGTATGGTATATCTGGATTTTGCAAAAGCTTTTGATACAGTTTATTATAAACGCTTAATTTACAAATTGAGGTATGTTGACTTAGACTATAGTGTATGTACCTGGATAGAAAACTGGTTACAAGGGTGAGTATCAAGGATGGTGATAAATAGCAAGTATTCAGAATTGTCTGGAGTGGTAAGTGGGGTACCCCAGGGCTCTGTCCTGGGACCAATTCTGTTTAATTCCTTCATAAATGATATAGAACAGTGATGGCGAACCTTTTTGAGCCCGAGTGCCCAAACTGCAACCCAAAACCAACTTATTTCTTTCAAAGTGCCAACACTGCAATGAAACCTGAATATCGAGCTTTTGGTTTAGAAAAAAACAACTCGTACAGTAGTGCAAACTAATTAACAGTACAGGGATGACCAGAGACTGCGGACAGTACAGGGATGACCAGAGACTGCGGACACAGTACAGGGATGACCAGAGACTGCGGACACAGTACAGGGATGACCAGAGACTGCGGACACAGTACAGGGATGACCAGAGACTGCGGACACAGTACAGGGATGACCAGAGACTGCGGACACAGTACAGGGATGACCAGAGACTGCGGACACAGTACAGGGATGACCAGAGACTGCGGACACAGTACAGGAGATGACCAGAGACTGCGGACATAGTACAGGAGATGACCAGAGACTGCGGACACGGTACAGGGATGACCAGAGACTGCAGACACAGTACAGGGATGACCAGAGACTGCAGACATAGCACAGGGGATGACCAGAGACTGCAGACACAGTACAGGGATGACCAGAGACTGCAGACACAGTACAGGGATGACCAGAGACTGCGGACACAGTACAGGGATGACCAGAGACTGCGGACACAGTACAGGGATGACCAGAGACTGCGGACACAGTACAGGAGATGACCAGAGACTGCGGACACAGTACAGGAGATGACCAGAGACTGCAGACACAGTACAGGAGATGACCAGAGACTGCGGACAGTACAGGGGATGACCAGAGACTGCGGACAGCACAGGGATGACCAGAGACTGCGGACAGTACAGGGATGACCAGAGACTGCGGACAGTACAGGGATGACCAGAGACTGCGGACAGTACAGATGACCAGAGACTGCGGAAAGCACAGGGATGACCAGAGACTGCGGACAGTACAGATGACTGCTGACCTTTGGGGAGGGAGGGGGAGCGGGTACCTGAATTTGACAGGTACCCGCTCTTACTTCCGCAGAGTTTTTTTTTTATCTTACCTGTTCCTTTATCCAGCCGCGCGCTGTCTTCCCGGCTTCTGTAGTGTGGGCGCTCGTCGGACAGCCGGATGCCCAGTGCGCATGCGCGAGAAGCGCTGCGCTTTGTGATTGGTCCGGCGGCTTCTGGGATCTGTCATGTGTCCCAGGTACCGCCTTACCATTCACAAAGAGCACTGCTTCTTGCGCATGCGCACTTGGGACCCGGCTGTCATGCACACTACAGAAGCCGGGAAGACAGCGCGCCGCTGGATAGAGGGACAGGTACAGTCCCACTGCAGAGCTGAGCGGCCGGCCCGGTATTCTGACATGGCCGCGGTGGAAATACCGGACCGGCCGCTCTATATTCGCTCCATAAGACGCACTGACATTTTCCCCCCTTTTTGGGGGGAAAAAAAGTGCGTCTTATGGAGCGAAAAATACGGTATTCTCCTGGCGTGCCCACAGATAAGGCTCGGCGTGCCGGCTGTGGCACGCGTGCCACAGGTTCGCCATCACTGATATAGAAGTTGGTATACATAGCTCAATCAGTGTTTGCTGATGATACAAAGCTAAATAGGGCAATAACTTCACAGCAGGATATAGAAACCTCACAAGAAGACCTCAATAAAATTAGGGTGGGGGCAACTACATGGCAAATGAGGTTTAATGCTGAATAATGTAAAGTAATACTTTTGGGGGCCAAAAATATGAATACAAGTTACTCGTTAGGAGGAGAGCTATTGGGGGATTCCATGTTGGAAACCAATGTGGAGGTCTTAGTAGAACGCAGGCTCAGCAATGGCAAACAATACCAAGATGCAGCAAGCACATCCAGCAGAATATTAGCATGCATTAAAAAGGGGATTTATCAAAAGATAAGACTATAATTCCAGCACGTTACAAAACTCTGGTTTGGCCACATCTTGAGTATGCTGTCCAATTCTGGTCACCAACCTTCAGGAAGGATATGCGGGAACTGGAGTCCAGAGAAGCGTGACAAAGCTAATAAGGGGACTGGAGGACCTCAGTTACAAGGAACAGCTACAAACATTAAACTTATTCTCCTTGGAGACCCTTGAGAGAAGATATGATGGCAATTTACAAATACCTCAGTGGTGATCCCAGCATATGAAGAAGACTATTCAGTTTCAGGGAGCTTAAGAAGAAACGTGGCCACTCCATGAAATTGGAGGAGAAGCAGTAAAACTAGGGATGCAACAATACCAGTTTTTTGAGGGTGAGTACCAAAACGTTTCCTCAAGTACTTGCTGATACTAATTACTGATACCTATTTTTTTTTTTCGTGCGGTGCGGTGCAGTTTGAGCCCATGCAAAATGAATGGGCGCAAAAGGCACTGCAAAGAACCCAGGATGAAGTCACTATGACAAGGCTGGGTTGACGCAGGAGAAATGCAGAAAACTACATGTGTTTCGGACACGAATCACACCACATTCCTGTTCAAATCACATGCGATTCTTTGCAGTGCGTTTTGAGTTCACTCACTTTGTACGGGCTCAAATCGCACCGCTCTGTATGAAAAAGGTATCGGTTTAAGGTATCGGAGCATTGGTTGAACTGATACTGATATTGGTGCAACCCAGGGGCAGACTGACAACTCATGGGGCCCCCGAGCAATAGGGGATCATGGGGCCCCTGTGTCCTTGCCCAAACTCAAAAAAGCCTATGAAAAAGGTACCAGGGGCATCTCATGGGGCCCCCTACTGACCCTGGGCCCTCGGGCAGTGCCCGAGTTTCCAAATGGTCAGTCCGCCCCTGTCTGCAACCATAAGTTTAACCTTAAAGTGTTACTAAACCCAGGACCCTGCATTCACTATATTTGGTTTCCCACAGTACGCAGAGAATGGAAATGCTACTTTTTTAGTAAATATAAACTGCTAAGTACCTTTTCTCATCAGCAATTAGTGCAGTCTTGTGACTTCTATCACTGTCCACCAGAGCACATGTTAAAGCTTGTAGGAGGAGTTTTCTTTCTGCTCTAGGAAGAATCAGAACCCCTGCCCTCTCTCTGGACAGTGCTGATTGGCCCTGTGCTGATCACATGCCCTCTCTCCCAAGAAAAAAACAAACAAACCTCTCTAGCAATACACACTAAACTGAGCATGTGCAGAATGGCTATGGTGCAGTCTGTCTTATCAGGAGATAAGACGTTGACATTTGAACAAGAGGAGGATCAGAGAAGTGAGGATCAAACGGCATGCTGATCAAAAGGCATACTGTACTGCATATACAGACTGATTTTACTGTTGTTGGTTTAGTAACACTTTAAACTGAGTAGAAGGTTCTTTACTGTCAGAGAGGTAAGGATGTAGAACTCCCTTCCACAATCAGTGGTGTCAGCAGGAAATGTCAATGGTTTCAGAAAACTTTTATATGGGCATCTTAGTGAATGTAGTATACAGGGATATGGGAAAAAATATTGACATAAACACACACACACACTCAGGTTAAACTGGATGGACTAGTGTCTTTATCCAACCTTGCCAACTATGTACCCATGTAATATAAACTGAACTGATTGAGGATGTACAAACTGATCTATACTGATCTGATTGCGGATGTACAAACTGATGTAAACCGAACTGATTATGGATGTACAAACTAATGTATACTGAACTGATTGCGGATGTACAAACTGATGTAAACCGAACTGATTATGGATGTACAAACTAATGTATACTGAACTGATTGCGGATGTACAAACTGATGTAAACTGAACTGCAGACTCTGGGGCTAATTAACACAGAACGGACAGCTACTGGAGAGTTTAAACTGCAGCCGCTTACTCTCCGGCAGCTGACCGTTGCAGAGTGCAATATAGCGCATCCCATATCTCCCTTTTTTTCTCTTACTGAACTTTACTTAAAGTGTACAAACATACACTTCATTCATTATACTGGAAAGCAGTGCTTCATTGCGATCCATGCATTTTATTGCAAGCTCCGGGCTCAGTATGAACAGAACACATAGAAAACAATTGTTTTATGTGTCCTTGCAGTGACCGGCTTTTCACAAAGCAGTAAAACATTGGTGAAGGCATATAGTATGAATTCAGCCTGAGTAGTGTTCTGTGCCTGTTCAATTTGTGCCGCGGTCAGAAAGCACAGCATCATGGCTGCGGCATGTGTAAAGCCTTGATCGCATGTTGGTGTTCAGAAAGGTGGTAAAACCGCAGCTCAACCACGGGGCTTCATTCCGCACATGTGCGGAACCTAAGGATTCCATATTTCTGCATTGTTTTTGGTGACTGAACCGAAGACGGTGGTGTGGAAGGAGTCTTCTGTTTGGGAAGAGATGCCTACTTGTGGAAGGAGCCGTTTATCTGGGATGAGTTCCCGAACTTGTGAAAGGAGCCTTCTGTCTGGGATGAGATCCCTACTTGTGGAAGGAGCCTCCTGTCTGGGATGAGATCCCTACTCAGGGAAGAAGCCTTCTGCCTGGGATGAGATCCCTACTTGTGGAAGGAGCCTTCTGTCTGGAATGAGATCCCTATTTGGGGAAGGAGCCTTCTGTTTGGGATGAGATAGATACTTGTGGAAGGAGAAATTCGTTTGGGATGAGATCCCTACTTCTGGAAGGAGCCTTTTCTTTGGGATGAGATCTCTACTTGTGGAAGAAGCATTTTGTTTGGGATGAGATCCCTACTTGTGGAAGGAGCCTTCTGTTTGGGATGAGATCCCTACTTGTGGAAGGAGCCTTCTGTCTGGGATGACATCCCTACTTGGGGAAGGAGCCTACTGTCTGGGATGAAATACCTACTTGGGGAAGGAGCCTTCTGTCTGGTATGAGATGCCTACTTGTGGAAGGAGCCTTTTGTCTGGGATGAGATCCCTACTTGTGGAAGAAGACTTCCTTACTGGGATGAGATCTCTACTTGTGAAAGAAGACTTCTGTCTGGGATGAGATCCCTACTTGTGAAAGGAGCCTTCTGTCTGGGATGAGATCCCTACTTGTGGAAGAAGACTTCTGTCTGGGAGGAGATCCCTACTTGTGGAAGAAGACTTTTGTCTGGGATGAGATCGCTACTTGTGGATGAAGACTTCTGTCTGGGATGAGATCCCTACTTGGGGAAGGAGCCTACTGTCTGGGATGAGATACCTACTTGGGGAAGGAGCCTTCTGTCTGCGATGAGATCCCTAATTAGGGAAGGAGCCGTCTGTCTGGGATGAGATCCCTACTTGTGGAAGGAGCCTTCTGTCTAAGATGAGATCACTACTTGTGGAAGGAGCCTTCTATCTGGGATGAGAGTCCTACTTGTGGAAGGAGCTTTCTGTCTGGGATGAGATCCCTATTTGTGGAAGGAGCCTACTGTCTGAGATGAGATCACTACTAGTGGAAGAAGCCTTCTGTCTGGGACGAGATTCCTGCTTGTGGAAGGAGCCTTCTGTCTTGGATGAGATCCCTAGTTGTGAAAGGAGCCTTTTTAGGGATATGATCCCTACTACGAGAAGGAAGCTTCTGTATGGGATGAGATACCTACTGGTGGAAGGAGCCTTTTTTGGGATGAGATCCCTACTTGTGGAAGGAGCCTTCTGTCTGGGATGAGATCACTACATGTGTAAGGAGCTTTCTGTCTGGGATGAGATCCCTACTTGTGGAAAAAGACTTCTGACTGGGATGAGATCCCTACTTGTGAAAGAAGACTTCTGTCTGGGATGAGATCCCTACTTGTGGATGAAGACTTCTGTCTGGGATGAGATCCCTACTTGTGGAAGGAGCCTTCTGACTGGGATGAGATCCCTACTTGTGGAAGAAGACTTCTGACT